ACGTTTAAGAAAGCCGCTCTTAATGAAATCGCTTTAACTAATTGTATGGATTTCATATCATATATATATTATAATTTGAATTTTAATATGATGATAATTCGTGACTGATTTGTTTGAAATGGAGCGACTAAGGTGACCGTGCCGTGGGTTGGTTGGTTGGTTAAGTGTCTATCTCGTCTGTTGTGGTAAAGGCAGGTTGACCGATTAGTCACGATCAAGGATTTTTGTCAGCACTCTGATCGGTCAAGATTGTCGTCATTTTTTGTTGTTCAAATCTCTCATCATTGTGTGGTTGGCAGTAGGGCGGTAGAATGTTTTGGTTGTCTGGTCGTCGTTTGAGTCGTTCAAGTGCTTTGAGATTTGTGTTGATAAATGATGTGTATACAATTATATAAGTGTAAATGCAAAATTTTATTTCTTATATAGAAAATTTTAAATTTTAAGATGGGCAACCCTGAAAACACTTTCATTGTTGTCGTCCAACTCAATGTCATTGCGAGACTCAACTAACACCATTAAATATCAATCAAGGGGTGCTTTAAACATACCAAAATAATTTTAGATGTGAACTATGTAATACTAAATTATAGGTGCCATATATATATATATATATAGCATATGAATTGGAATGGCATATGAATTTTGCTTTTACGTTTTCCTGAAGTCATATAAAATAAAAATAAAGCGAAAAAGTTAATAACGCAGATCTAGACATATATCAAACATGCGAGGAGCTACCCACAACTATAGCGGAAGCGTGAGTTATGTCTCGGCGCCTGACCATCTCCTTTTGTTTTGGCTGCCGTCAAAATCAGATAGAAAAAAAAAAAAAAAAAAAAAAAAAAAAAAAAAAGACAGAATATGTTGAAGATGCCCCAATAGTTATGAGATGCTCTTGATGTGCATTCATGACAATAGGATACATAGCTAACTAACCATTATTTAAGAACGAGTAGTACACATTTCATGCGGTATGATGCAAGAAAAATATCTTTGATGTCAAGAGAATATTACATATGGAGTCTGTGTACATACGTACTTTGTGTATAATAATATTATATGTTGTTTTATAATATGGGTACGATAGTATACAACACGAAGTGCGCGTGCATACGAACTCTACGTATCTTGATATGTTTATACTTTATGTTAGATTAAAAGAATGACTTTTTTTTTAAATGTAATATGAAATATTGGGTAATATTAATGTAGAAATCAAACTTTTAGGTCTTGTATGTGTAATTACATGGGAATTGGGTGTAATGTATGTAAATGCCCCTAAAATTTATTGGAGAAATTTTTTTGTCATCTATAAAAACTTTAAGTTTGAACCATTAATCTTTTACACTTATTTTCCTTAAATTTGATGTCAAAATGTCATTCCCTAAATACAATTAAAGATCAAATGTAATCTTTCACATCCATGATTTTAGTACGTCAAAATTGATGTAAATAAATTAATCATAAGTTAGATTAGCAACATATTGAAAAATCAAATAAAATTTTAATTTTATACACATCATATATGAAAATTATATGTGAATGGATCTTAAATATTAGAAATGGTAGAGTATGGTCCACTATGTTTGGGCGGTTACTTTGCTTCGAAGAATCAAACTTCTTCACATATAACCCCTTTCGTCTTCCGCTTTTGTGAAATGAAGCATCTCTTCGCTCATTTCTGTTCTTAATAAAAGCTTCGGATGACTCTCCTTGAGTTAGAAGTAACGCTTTGAGTTCTTCTTCGGTTTCCTCGGGATAGAGAAAGGTTTCCTCGGGGCAGAGAAAGAGAAGTGCAATAAGGAGCAGTTCCTTGCAGCAAAAGGAAGAAGAAGAAGATTGTTCTCTCTAGGCTTCTTCTTGGTGGCTTGTGGCATAAGAGAAATTGAGTTTATTTCTCTTGTAAGTTTGTTTTCTTCGGTGTATCTCGATGTAGAGTTTTTTTCGGTGTATCTCAGTATAGAGAGAGAAGAACAGAGAGAACAACGAAGAGTGAGAGATTTCTCTTGTAAGTTGATGTGAACGACTGTTGTAAATTCCTCAAGTAGTAAAATCCTCTGCAACTCCGTGGACGTAGGCAATTTGCTGAACCACTTAAATATGTGTGTTCTGTTGTGTTGTTCTTTTCTGATGTGATTTTTCTCGTTTTATTTTTCACTTCATAGAGTGTTCTCTTGTTTGATTTATATATATACCACATCAACTGATATATCTAAATCTCGCAACAACAACATTAAATTGGTGGCCACCAATTTCGAAACAATCATGATAAAATATTATATAAAATAGTGAATGAAAATAAAGCGAGCACACACATAGATATTACCAATATATATAGTCAGCATTTTGGCATGTTGAATATTAATATGGACCCTTTATAATAAATAATAAATGATTAAAAAATGAAAAGAGAAAGCCAAGAAGCACAGAGAACGAAATACTTCATTCCATCATTGATTGTATATATAAAATGCATGACACAATATGACTCATTAATAATCAAATATGTTTTAACACCGCTTAAATCACCCATTATAATTATATAAAGTACCAACCCAACTAGTGTAAGACATAATTACACAAAATATTTATAAAGTCCATAAGATGATACCCTTTCTCTTTATCAAGAGAAAATCTAGAGCAGATGAAATATAAATTTTAAAATTTAAAAGCCCTTAATAAAATAAACATAAATATTAGATGCTTTGAAGGGCTCTATAAGGAAAAATTATTTCATACGGATCGACGGTCAGGATGTATTTCGGTGGCCCCACCTAAATTTAAAAAAAAAACTGAAATAATCCTGACCGTAGATCACCGTTATCTACGGTCAGGATCGGACACCGCATGCAGAGATGCATGCGGTGTCCTTATGCAATAATTTCTCGCTATAAGGGTCCTTAATGAGAAGACAACTCTCAACTAAATCTTTGCTTTGCATTTTCTTGATATCACTATCAAGTCTTCATACATATTTACAAACACCTTCACAAATATCAAAAAAATGGAAAGAAATTATCGCTAAACATTGAGGATGAAATACAAGCAATCATAATGCTATTTAAAAGTTCATGAATCTCGCTCACAGAATAACAGAGAATAAGAAATAATTGCATACCGTCGAGAATTTTATAAAAATGAAAAATATAAGTTGGGGTTTTATCATGAATTTTGATATTGGAGTGAGAATTTAAAAAAATGGATAAAAGAGGATGCTTGATCTGTAAATAGCAATGTTTCGGGTGATCTGCATGTCATTGCCCTAAAAACAAATTTCATTTATTTCAAGAGATTCATGGCTTTGACTGGTCTTCCATGATTTCTAATTCTGCAGCGGCTTCCTCTTGGTGGAGGAAAGCAGAACAAGGACCTTCTTTTCCAAAGGGAGTTCAGTTGCTGTGGGGAATATAGATGACCACACGATAGCCAGAAGGAATGGACCCTTTCCTTCCATAGCTTTTGGGGGCATTTACATACATAGACAAAAGTCTTATGTATTTACATATGTAACACCTAAATTCTTATATTTACATGACTATTGGCGTGCTAAAAGTGTTAATAAAATGCTTTGGTGTTAGATATGTAAATACATAAAATGGTGTGATATGCAAATTTCCCTGAAGGAAAAGCTTGTCTCATCAATTTACAGTGACACAATTTCTTCTTTAAAAATAATTATGGCAAAAGAATATACCAAAATAATCATATTTTTTGTTATAGAAAAGTAATTGCTTTAGTTTCTAAGTAATAATTAATTAATAATTTCAATGGTTTAGGGTTTTTGTTTCAATTTAGTTTTATTATTATTATTTTTTTTTACCCCTCATGTAATATAAAATGTTACAAATTTTTATTTAAGATGCAAAATAAATGTGATTATCTAAAAAAGCTTCAGGTTGCAAAACACATTATTTGCGCTAAAGGCATAACTTGCAAAAAAAAAATTTTTTTATAAATTTTCATTTGAAATAATAAATTTATAAAATTCAAGTGAAATTATTGAGTTTTGAGCATAATTTCATGTTGTTTAGGTGAGTTTTACAAAATTTTCACCCCAATTACATAGAAATTTTGTGGCAATGAAATGACATAACACCATGAGCTAGGAAGATACCGACCTCAACATCACTTTATGTAAAGATAATAGACTGTTAATTTAGAGTTTAAAATATATTTTTTTGAAATAGAAGTGATGATATTCATTTCCAATTCAAAGCTTAAACTTATAAATGAAATTGCTACTTCTAAATAACTACATTTTAAAATTATTTGATATGAGAATAGTTGGATCTCGGCTTGTTTGTGAATCCACTCTACTAAGAAATAAGGTGAAATAAAGAGGACATTGAGTGAAGGACAGGACATAGACAATAGAGAGAGAATTCTCTTTTATAATACTCGGTGGAGATTCAACTTCTGTTATGATGTTCTCTCCTATTTATAGAAGGGATGGCTTATAAAATGCAAAGTAGAGCATTTATTATACAAGAAACTCATGAGATATCCTACCTATCTCCCTTGGCTTCTTATGGTGTGGTATAACAAGAATATGCTAGATTGAATCTCTCAAAGGAATGACCCTGCCTGGACGACAGAACCCTACCTCGACGATCAACCTAACCTAGAGGACCCAGACTAGACGACCGATCTAGCCTAAATGGCCCAGCATGGACGATGACCCATCCTGAACAACCGACCCAACCTAAACGACCTAGCCCGAACGACCAACCCAGTCTGGAGGACTAACCAGCCTTGATGTCCGACTCTGTCTGGATGAA